AACACAGGTGGGAGCACGGCGTGGGAAAAGTGTAGGACTGCTGCCTTACCTGAACAAAGGCAGCCTGACAGAAAATGCTCAGTTGGTGGAGGGATCCTTGGAGAGTCTGCATAATTAGCTGTGGTTGTCCAAGTACAATTCTGCCCTGAAAATTGGCTAAAATAGACATTCTGGACTATTATTCTAGAATTTCTTGACTGAAAATGTACAGCTTATCATTAAAATGTTATTATTTTTGCAGCTGCTGATTCTGTATTCCTTGTAGCACACTGAGTTCTTGTACTTGTGCACAGCATCACCAGTTGTGGAGCTGTTGAGGCCATGCCCTGCCTGCAGGGACACCTGAGGTACCCTGTTGTAGGTGTGTAACTCACCACAGCTTGGAGCTGGTGATATACAAGGCATAACAACACAAACGTCATTGTCTCCACACTGCTGAAAAGCAGGAGACTAGCTGCTTCTTTAATGTGACAGTCAGAGTTTATGGCTATGAATACACACTACCTTCTAGGGCTGTGTGATAAGAAGGGAGCTTTTTTCGTAGAAGCATTGTGCTTTAAGATGCCTAAAGCTTTACTGGCCATGTAGAAAAAAAAAAAAATCCCTAAAGTTCTGGACTCAGATCTTGCAGAAACTCTTATTTTCACTGAAAAATGCTATTACAAACATTTGCAAAACTCCTGAAAATAGTACAGATGGAGGCAAAATGATCTTCAGTCTCTCTGATGAATGGGATACAGATAAGGTCCTGCAAGCTTCCAGGGAGTATGAGGACCTTATGCTCACTGGAAGTCAACTGTTCTGCTTTCCTAACTATTAGCCTTGTTATCCAGGACAAAGAGAAAGGTCTAATGTATATGAAGCAAGTTTTTTTGGCAGAGAACATGCAGACAGCTATTCCACACCCAAACAGGTTCTTTATGGTAGCAATCTAATTACTTTATGAGCAAAAAAAGTCAGTGCTGAAGCTACTCCAGTAAATTTTAAGCAGATTAGGCTATAGACAACTTCCAAGAGGAAACCTGGTAACATAAGATAGACAAGATAAGACAAAGAGATCTGTATTCTACTGTAAATTAACTTCCCCTAACTGTGTGCTTCAGTCAATGAGTTTTGTAGGTGCAACTAATGGCTGAGCTTGGTGTAAAAATATAGAATATTTAGTTACATCTTGATGATCTAGTTGGTCTTAACTCAGTCAAGCAGAGACTCACAGAGTATAAAATTGCTGCTCCTGTAATTACATGATTAAGTGATAGTTTCCAGTTGTGCCAACCTAGCTACAGTAGGTATGAGACAACTTTTTTCTCACCCTCTTAAAAGGTCAGCAAATGAAGCAAACATTAGTGTGACATGGTTCAGATGTGCAGGTTCAGTTCCCAGTTTTCCTGTCCCTGAATGGGCACACACTGACTGTGCCTGCAGTGGTGTTCATTCATCATACATGAGCAGGCAGTCATTTACCAAGGTCCACCGAGTGCAGCTGTGTTTAAACAGGCTCGTGTGCCTTCTGCTTCATAGGCAGAGCTTTCTGAGACTGGTTAGCACAGAAATGGAGCACATGTAGTTGTGTATTTCGTTATGATATGCAGAGCAGAAGCTATTATGCAAGAGGACTACACAGCTGTTTCTGTACAATTCTCAGTTCTGGTAATAGGGGAAGGGAGGCTACAGCTTCGCTCTGTTAATTCCTTCTCTCCTCCTGTGAATTAGTGGTTGATATACTTTGATGTTGTTACTGTCCCTTATCCTTTTCTATAACCATTTCCTCTACTCCTGTTCTCTCTTTTTCTCATCATTCTTACAGAAAGGGGTAATGTTTTCAAAAGAATGGCCTTCTCTTTGAATCTGTAAAACTCTGCCTACACCATTTCAGAACACAAGTGCATACCTGTAGATCTAACTGGTTGCCTGAATGAAACCTACACCTCAGTGCACACAGGGCCTCAGAGCAGCCAACTGAACCTGCTCCAGTCTGAGCCATATCTTGCACAAAATCTTGCTTGGTGCAAAATCTGGAATACTCTCTTTGAGAAGCCTAGAAAGTGAAGGCTAGAATGTGTTAATTCCACCTCCTCTAGACTCATGCCCTAATCTTAATATATTCCAGTATACCCATTCTTTCCACGTTATTTAGACATATAAATGCCTTTAGAGTAGAATTGTCTCGTACGAAGTTTTAAACCCCCATGTAATTTCAGCTGCAAACAACTACAACATATTTTATTTTGGTTTGGTACTTCTGTGTGCATTTGTGCATACCACTTGCATTGCTGGGTATATGATCCAGCAGTGGGAGCATGCCTAACGTAAGCATGGGTCATCCATGGCACAGCAGCTGACTGCAGCTTGCAGTATGTCTTGTAACTTTCAATTATACAGTCCAATAAACTGCAGCTATCTAACACCACCCTACCCTTACGTAACCCAAGAGCTGTAACACTTTGGCACCAGACAGTGTTTTGTTTGCTTACATGATTATAACCTCAAGGCAAGAACTGCACCTGGGTGTGTGACAGAGTCTCGGGGCACTTATAACAGAAATGCCATCTGCATTACAAAGCTGGTTAAGAGTGTAATTTTACTGAGAGCTTTTCTGTCACATTTTGGTATTAGTTAAAACCCTTGGGGAAATAATGGAAACAAAAGTATGATTTTGCCTGCTTAAATTGCATCTATTCTAGTAGGACTTGCTTGTTAAACCTCAATCACCAAATCTTTTTGGTACAGTCTATTTCTAAGGCAGGAGAGATTTTCCCATTACTTTGCAGTTTCTGAGTGCAACTGCCTTGCAAGTGAAAATAAGCAATTAAGGTTGCTCAAGATAAATCTAGTCCCATCCCAGAAATGGTATGATTCACATCACTTACAGCTGCAGAGGTGCAAAAGTTTTCAGACTCCAGATATTAACTTGATAACTTCCTTAGAGCGTTAGGTCGTTGTTCAGCAAAGCACTTAGGCGTATATTTAAAGAGCAGATTTTCAAAGACACAGAAATAGATCAGCTAGTCTGTCTCAAACTAAAGGCCCTTTGGACCTTTGAGTATCTTTCTTATTGACTTTAATAGGACCCAAACATAGGCTTGAAGCTAAGCAAAGGCTTTAGAACTGAATAAACAGCAACTTAACCAAACATTTAAATGTGTTGCTGAACTTTATTCTGAAGGGAACCAACATAAACTGGAAGCTAGTTTAAATCCATTTAGAATTCTCCAATGTGAATTATTCAGCTATCCCCGCTTCAGTTAGTTGTTCAGCTGCACAGTCAATGAAATATTTTGATAGAGCAGTATGTGATATAAAGTCAACAACAACACACACTGTAACCACCAGAAACTTGTCTTATTCCAGAGTTTAAGCATCAAACATTAAAAGCTTTTTGAACTACCTTTCATAACTTTTATAGTGGGGTTTTTTTGTTACTCATAACAACTGAAAGCTTATGACACAGGATTAATTTCCTCTTTGCTTTCAGATGCAGAGCTTTGTTGTAGAGGATGTGAGATCTTGTTTAGGCTCCAAGTTCTGATCTGTATCCCATTATTGTACTTGAAAGCTGTTTTCTGGGGTAGAGAGGTCCTTATTAGCAGACATTATTCCTTGTGACAGAGCTGGGGAAAATAAAAAGCAAACGTGCATTGTAGCAAAGGCAACAATGGCACACATGCCAAATTCTAGCACTGTTTCAATAGTCAACATTTTCAGCTATATGAGGACAGCAGCAGAAGTTGAAAACTAGCCATTAACATTTGACAGACACACTCATGGTTGAATATTTTTCTTTCAAAATGCAGGCACTTGGCTGTGGGTGTGTGGGACAGGCTGTCCTCAGCCGAGGAGTCCATGGTGGGCCCATGACAATATCGATTGGATTTGCAATGGCAGTCACCATAGCAGTGTATGTGTCTGGGGGTGTTTCTGGTAAGTGACTTTGCATAGCATTTACTGCTACAGTTTTAAGGCTACCTTGTTAAAATTGCCCTTTTTTTTTTTTTTTTTTTTATAAAATAACCTTGCTTGGTGTTGCTTTGAAAATGCTGTCATTAGAGATGATCCTGGACAGTGTAGGCACTGGGCTGAAAGAAATAACCATGAAAAGCAATCCAAGTCACCAGATAAAATGGTGGCCAGCTACATAGAAGCTGGAATGACCCACTAATGGGTGTAATGAGCAGGGTTCACCTTACAGAGTGCAATTTATCTCTTCATGTCCTAAGACAGGCAATAGCAAGTCTGTTCCTGTCTGCTTATTCACAGAAGCTGCAGATCATAGAAAGCAGAAACAGCAAAAAGATTCAGTACTAGAGACACATTCAGTGCTACACTGTCAATGTACTGCTGCTGCCCCTTTGTTTCTGCTGTTACACTTCCTCAACATATATTGGTCAGGAATCTCTCTATGGTCTGTATCTGGGCTAACAGTGTCTGCCATTTGGTTGGGGCAAACTAATATCAGAAACATTGGCATAACTGCTTTTAACATTTAAATTCTCCCTTTAAAATAGAAAATTATGGGGTTTAATAATACACAAGATAATACACAATGCGACATGTTGTATGTGGAGCTCTTATTGACCTCTTAAAGTAAATGGTGCCCTTCTACTCCAGTTCTCATAGAGACATTTCTTACCCTTAGTAAAGAGGGAAAAGTTGGTCCAGACAAATTTTCTAGGTATGACTAGGCCATTACAAATAGTTGCCAAAACAGAAATTGCTGTGGCCGCTTCTCTTCTCTTACAAATCCTTTTACAGAGGTACCATGCGCAAGAAGGTTTCCAAGTCCACATTAGAAAGTGCTCAAGACTCTACAAAGCCAGCAGTCCTGTAATTGCCATTGGAACAGACCAGGCCTGTTCCTTAATACCACACAAAGTTAATTCAGCACCACATTCCTATTGTCTGAACAACTTTAAACTACAGCTCTCAGTTTACATGTAGGCAGGTAAACTCTTCTAATGCAGTATCATGAAAACAAACCTGTGGAAACCTGTCCTACATTTGCATCTTTAAGAAATATTCATCTCCATCATTATGTAGAAAATTAGAGTTCAATCCCAGCAGGGCAGAGCAGTTGCAGATGTTGCAGCATCGTACTTCCTGTGTTTTTCCCATGACAAAGGATTCTGCGTGCAGTGCATTTTCTTTGTGAAAGAATAGGAACAGATATTTCAACAGGCTGTGATTATCCAACATAAAATTACTAGTGGACACTTCAGAATATGAGTTCCTATACAGAATTTGTTAGAAATTTCAGTGGCTCTTTGGCCATAAAGTCTTATGTTTAAGTACTGCTAAAATATTTCGCAGCAGTTCTTTATGAAATTCTAAATTCAGGCTAAAAAAAAATACAGTCGGCAAGCTTGGTGAATTTGAGCTTTTTGTTATTTAGGAAAATTTCCCTGTTGCTTTTCTCCATCTAATTTTCCTCAATATCTAGATAATTTCCCATCATTTTTTCCAACTTAACATTTCAAACTCATGACTGTGATCACTGTAACTACAAAACAATGGGGACTTTTTTTTTAAATCAAGAAACTAGCAGTGGCACAGACACCAAAAATCTCTTAACTCCCCTGTGCCAGCATAAGGGCTTTCAACTAGACTTTCCCTTTCCAGATTTAATGTTAATCAGCCATCTCTAATATTATTATGACTTGTCCTGGCCATCATAATCACTCTGTATTATATACAGGTGGGGAACAATATCAGGTGTTGAAAGAAAGGAAGGAAAATGATTCATTCCAGCCAGAGTAAGGAACAAAAGACAAGACAACAATTTATCAAAATTCACATGAAGGGCTGTTAAATAAGGCCATCTATCTATGTGCTCTGTGCTGAAGAATTTGAAACACAGTGAGGAATTCAAAATTAATTCAAGACTGGTGCTACTAGGTCAGAGTTTTGGAAATGATACAAAGAAGTTTTTATCCAGTTTGTTATCTGTGTTTGTCAGTTCATTATGTATCAAAGGTGCCTGGATTTCATAAGATAATGGCTCACTGACCTGAAGTGCAAACAAACAGAGAAACTGTACAGAGAGGCCCTTCCTCCATCACTAACCTTTGACAGATAAAGGACATGATTTTTCAGTTATTTTACCAAAGACCTTTTTTTTTCTTAGATCTTTCTTATCGAGGCTGAAATAGGATTTCACCTGGAAGACAAGCAATGGGTCTTATGTCCTTGCAAAACCTGGAGTTTGCTGTGCTTCTATGGAGTACCTTTTCATCTGTTTATTTACTTGGCAGTTTGCATTTCTTAAGTAGCAACCAGGTATTTGTAAGCAATGAAGATTTCCAAAAGCATCCAATGCTTTTTTTCCCCATGTTGATAAAAGACGCTGAGGGAAGTGGCTATCATGTAACAGATATATTTTAGAAACTAACATTGTCACAAAGAATTCCAGTGTTACTGTAACCTTTTTCATGCATGAGTTCAGGTGGAGCTACTCCTGGACAAAAAGGAAGTTCCACAGGAAACAGAACTCTGTTTCAGCACAGCTACTTTATCAGTTTCCTTTTCATGGACCTTTCTGGAGGATGTACAAACTTGATGAAAATGGCTGATGAAGAACTATGCACTGCTGTCCCCAGGTCCCATCTAGGCAGATTGCACCAACAGCCAAGATGAAGCTGGACAGCACTAACATTATTTTATTTTGTGTTCATGGAAACTGAGTTCCTAATAACCTGGGGTTGAAGACAGGGACATAAACATGACTTAAATCCAGGGTACTCCAGATCTGCCTCAAGATACATGATCGAGCCAGTAGTAGTCTTTAATCATAATACATGCTTGCAAAACTGACTGAATATTCTGCTGCCCCAGTCCTCCCTTGAAAACAAAAAGCCAAAGGCCTCAAGGAGAGAGAATATGTGCAGAATGAGGGACCCTCTTGTCACAACTGATAGGGCAGATTAGACTTTTTCTGGGAAAGCTGTCTGTAGATCACACACTGCAGGACAAGCAATCTGACAAATACCACAGTCCACAAATGTCAAGTGCAAAGATGGATCGTGGTGGCTTTTGCCCTCCCTCCTCTAATTCCATCCAACTTGTTTCAGTTTAATTTCAGTCAGCACTTAATTGCAAAATAACATCTAGAAAAGCATGTACTGGTCTTGTGCTCAAAAGTCCCACATTTTTACGAATCCTTCACCTATTCTCATGTATCTGAGTCATCCACGTGACTTATTTTGTGATTTATTTTTCAGGTGGTCACATAAACCCAGCTGTTTCATTAGCCATGTGCGTGACTGGAAGATTAAAATGGACCAAATTACCAATTTACATATTAGCACAACTCCTGGGAGCATTTGTTGGAGCTGCGGCTGTCTTTGGGATTTATTATGGTGAGTACACCTTAGACATGTTCACAGGACAAACTAGAGGTCAGGCAATCTCTAAGGCCCCAATTTTTCAATGAATGTCAAGCAGGCAGAGGACTCGTGTTCACACAGGGCTAATGGCAGGAGTGAAGCTAAAGCCATAAAGAAGAAAGGAAGCAGCATAAAGAGTTTGAAGGGAAAAGCAATGGCTGGAACATTCCAGGTATCCTACAACTTTACCAAAACACTAATACTCCAGGAAATGTTCTGATATTTTGAATAATTATTCATGGGAAATCAGATACTCTGAGATCATGTATTTCTCAGTAAGGATTTTAAATTACTTAATAGCCAGGATATAGGGCTATCCATCTTCCAAGCAAATTAGAAACATTAAAGACCTGCTACAAGTGCCTGTGGGCATGTATCACCAACATCCTTCATTGAGGGTACAGGATATGAGATCAGGTCCCTGCTGACCAAACCTCAGACCACCCTAGAGTGGTGGCTCTCCAAGGCAATAAACTCCAGGTAGAGTGCTAAAAGGGTCACATATTAGAAGGGGAAAAAGAAAAAAAATTACCCCTGTCCTTGAGTCATGTTTCTTTGACACAGTGTGCCTCAAAAAGAAAAGATGTAGTAAAGGACTGATTGACTGGATAAATCCACTCAGAACAGTTGCTTGAGTCCCCTACTCCAAAACTCTGCTTCTACTGGCCCAGCCCATCTCCTCCAAAGCCTCTCTCCTATGGGCATTATGTCTGCAGACAGTGCTGGCTCTAGGTGCAATGGAGAACAAATAAAACTGGAAATGCCCATTGTATGCCAGCTCAGTACCCACAGTAATCCTGAAGAGAAAAATCTTTAGAAACCACTGTAACTGCTTTGGGTGTGGTGTGGGATTTTTATTTTTTTGTGGGGTTTTTTTTTGGGGGGGGGGGTGAATGTTTGCTTTTTATAATGTTAGCGTTAGAATTTGGAAACTGGGAGATTCCAGAATGGGATTCCTGTCTGAGTTTAAGCCCCCTCAAGCCTGATGGCAAGAACTGGGGCTGTGGCCAGGATGCAGCCATGAGCCAACATGCACATAGGGTTGGGGATGGATTCACTATATTTTGCCAAAAGAGCAGTAGTACTATAGGGAACCAAGATAGGGAACTTAGGGCTGGGGTTAGAGACACCTTTCTGATATACAGGAGTGCAGGATTTTCTCATCTCCCTATCTCTGCTCAAGTACTTTGCCTTCCTCTGGTTCTTATTAATTCCCAAACCTCTTCTGTACTTTTTCCTTCCTGCAACTTGCAGGGATGTCATGTACTTATTGAGGTCCACTGAAAAGTGGCTAGTAGAAAAACAGACCTAGAACTCCTCTTTTTCTCCCTAATAGATAAATGCAACAAAATAATCTGACACTAGAAATGAGAGACCCTGTTTGAAGTAAACAACTAAATATTCTCTGCACCTATGTTGTGCCCTTAAGCAAAGCTGCTCCTGTTTTTTCTAACAGGAGCAAGGAGAAATAGATTTATCTGCTAGCTCCAGGAGGAGATAACCACCCTTAACATGACTTCCATGGAGATGGGAAGCTGTTTCTTTACTCACAAGTATCATCTCATCATTGCATCCACTAATGAAATAATGGCATAGTGTTTATTATTCATGTCTGCCTATGGAAATTTGAGTGCTTCATCTTAGTGTCTTCCTACTTCTAACACTGCACAACTGTCAGATGGAATAGATGTAATTCCTGGTGGCTGGGAATCCACAACTGCACAATCATCATGCTATGCATTTCTTGGGGCATCATGCCAAATGTAGCACCTCTTACAGAATAATGTAACTGTGTTCAGAAGCAGAAAATGCTCCTTGGCACTGAGTTTAGAGCAATGAGCAGGGGAAAACCAGCCCGTTTTGAAAGTTGTGTTACGTAAAATGAGTACTTCAAGGCATGGGAGGAGAGATGAGACAGGAGGGTATGATGAGCCCATCACTTCAAATCCATTAACTATGCTTCCAGAAAAATAAGATCACAGATCGGCTTGGGTTGGAAGGGACCTTAAAGATCAGTTTCAGCTGAGAATGCAGTGCACACATCTATCACATGTATATTCTAGTCCTAGAAAACCTAGTGTTTATGGAGATGTGCAAGCAGTTACTGGATGTTTTCTATAGATGCCTTTATGAAGTATAGTGATGGAAAACTTGAAGTCACAGGACCTAATGCAACAGCACATATCTTTGCAACATATCCAGCTCCATATCTGTCCCTCATAAATGGATTTGCAGATCAGGTAAGTGCACTTGCTGTCTCAATTCTACAAATTGAACATACTGGCAACTATAAAACTAAGCAGTAAAAAACCCACACAAATCTAACCAGTATGCTGAACCTCAGCATTGCAGTCATGTGTCCCCATGTACAATACAGTGAGAATGCAATGCTGTTTGCAGGGGGTCACGTTTTAGTAATATTTTACAAGCAAGATAATTTCAAGTTGTTCTTTTCCCATACATCATCTTAATTGTTGCACTCTACATGTCTTTAATGCAATATATGTAAGAGGTTTTCTTCCGCATAAATCAATGTTTCTTCATAAATCTCAGCAGAGACATGTCCATTCACATCAAAATCCAGCCCATTTTGTGGGCCTGTTATTCCTTAAGTAATGCTTAAGCAGACAGTTTAACAACAGAGTTGTTAAAACAACTGGGCTTTCCAATTCCACAGGCCTCCTCTCCAACCTTCTCTTTGTAGATAGACTTGTATTATTTGTTATTTTTACTAGATTCAGTCATTTTAAAAATCTCCATTTCAGTCATTTGAAAAAATCTCCATTTCATTTCCAATCTGTATCCTCTAGTTCCACTCATGCAACAGCAAAAAAATGAAGCTTCATATCTTCTATCTACTTCTAATCAATTTGCCCATCTTCTTCAGGCATACGTGAAATAAGTACTGCATAAGTAAGGTGGCAAAAACTAGGGATTGCCAGAGCACAGGAATTCCTTACATAAAAGATTGTGCAATCTGACTTCAAAAAAATCCAAGCATTATTTTGAAATTCTCTAAGAAAGATGGGTCTGACCTTTGGATCAGTCAACAGATTTTTCCCCTAAGATTTTTTATCCATGGATATTTTAAAACAAACTTAAAATCAGGTGAAATAAAAATAATTTTTAAAACCCCCAAGTTTAAAACTTTTATAAACCAGTATAGAAGTTGAGCATTTTGACATCACTGACTCTTTCGTCTGTTTTCCCATCAAGTTAATTATTAGCAAAATGTACATGTACAAAGCATTTGATTTAAGCAGAGCTGCACTTCCATTGAAGTAATTCCAAGAAAATTTCCTTCATCAGCTTCATTAGCATATGCAATACAGAGTTCATGTTACAGCTGTATGTGCAACCCTAATTTTGGTAATTCCTAATTCTTAGCTGCTCAGTTCTGACTTTGTTGATTTCACTTTTTCTTCAGACATTATGCAATACCTGGATAAAGAGCTGCATATTTAGTCTAATTTATCAGCATAAACTACAGTCACATAAACCACTTCTATATCAATGTACCTGATTGCATTGGCATAGCAGAACTACCAAAACCTGAGTGAATGGAATTGTTAAACTGATAGGAAAAAATGTGAAAACAAAGCATCAGACCTCACACAGGAGGTGCCTTTCAAATACTCTGTTCTTTCCACACTAGGTTATTGAAGATTTATTTTTTTTCCCCAATGTCCTCATCACATTTCTTTTCTTTGTGTTTCAGCACAGATAGCAAAACTTCTCATTACTGTGAATTAAAGAGGCACCAAGTTCCAAATTTTGCTACTTGGTATAGTGGGGTAAATCTAAATACCAACTCTAAGCCACCCCAATCCACAGAGCTGCCATAGTTCCTCTTTTCATTACTGGAAGGAATCTGCACATATTTATTCAACATTCTTTTCTTTGTCTTGGCCAGGTGATGTCAACAGCTGTTCTTCTTCTGGCTATATTTGCTATTTTTGACACCAGAAATAACGGTGTACCAAAGGGCCTGGAGCCAATTGCAGTAGGACTTCTTATAATTGTTCTTACGTGCTCCTTGGGAATGAACAGTGGCTGTGCCATGAACCCAGCCAGGGATCTAGGCCCAAGGCTCTTCACAGCCATTGCAGGATGGGGGATGGAAGTATTCACGTAAGTACGCCTGGATATGAAGCAAAATGCTCTTGGCTAAAATTGTTTCTAGGAAAGTAAGACCCTGATTCAACGTGGTACCAAGTCATACTTTATATACATACAGGTAATTCTTTGCATACCAGAAGCAGCTATTCATGCACTTTAAGCCAAATATCCTCTAGGAACTGGGCTTTAGAAAGGATTTCCTGCTCCTAGGGCAAATCAAACATGCATTATCTCTAATATCAATCATTGTTTCAAGCAGACGCTTCCCAAAATATTAGAGATTCTTAGAGGTCACTGACAGTATGACTGCTTTATTCTTGTGTCCTGCAGCTTTCAGGGAAAAAAAAAAAAAAAAGAAATCAGGAGAGAGTTAGGTGGAAATATTTATTGAGTGCTGTAAAAAACAGTGACATATCAGATTGATTTAGCCTATTATTACTACTGAGTTATTGCAGAAATATACAGCAATCTAAAAGCCTGACTTCCTGCCTGGGAGCACAGGAGTGAATGAAAGAAAGCTCCCTTCATTTTCCCACATTTCAGAGCACACTCCCAAATCCCTGTGCATGTGTGTGCACACGCACACACGCACTCTTGGCTGGCCAAATGCACAGCTAATTAGTTACACATCAAATCCACAGTTTACACACATCCAGTGTAAGAGGCACTCTGGGATAGCTAAGTAAGAGTAATCTGTCATCAGGAAGTCGATCTTCTGGTTTATTTTTGTATAGTTTGTTTTTCCAGTTATTTACAAGTAGGAATCCCGAGAAGTACTGTAGACCACTAGAGAGCTCTAGTTAATAGAGATTTTATTTTAGCTACTTCACCAAGCACAAGTAATCTGCATTTAGTTACTGTGATTTCTAGCTACACAAATCATGTGCCTTACTAGAGGGGAGCAGTAGCAAAGCTTTTCTCATACAAAAAAAGCCAGGCATGGCATAGATGAAACAGGCAGACTGTCACACCACAGGCCACAGCTGAGGCTTTGATAAACCACTGGCAGGAGATCAGCTCACTAGTCTGGTTACCTCCAAACTTTTCCTCACCAGCAGCTCTTACCACTACACCATTAGAATGTGCTTTTTTTAAAAAACAAGAGCACACAGAGACATCTCACACCTAGGAGTCTTCTCTCTCATACCTTTGTAATTACAAGTAGTTGTTGACTGTGATATTAACCGTAGTGTCATGTGCTGTAATCTGGAATATCATGTGAAGTTGGCTATTATGTTGCTGAAAAAGTTTGGAAGCCTAATTGTACTGTGACCTAGTCACAAAATACCTGTGAGCTCACTCCTCTCATCTCCAAAACTAAGGTCTTACATTAAAGAAACTACAAGAAAACTCTACATTTGTACCACTATGGGCTCTTCCCCAATATAGTTTTAGGATTTATATACAGAGAGGGAATGCAATCCCATTGTAAAGACCTTGTTAAGAAATTTAAAAATGTCAACATGAAAAATGAGACACAAGCTCTCTGGTTATTGCCAGAATAAACAGTCTCAGGGATGTATAAACTGAGGGAAAAGTCTTCCTCCCTGACTTCAGTTAAGAGGCTACAGCTCTAACCAAGTTCAACAGAATGATACAACAGGAATATGTTCCTGTATATTTACAGCACAGATCCAGGTGGGACTTAGTAAGAACTTGAGCCTTGCTAGGTAGCTGGAAGAACCATGGGAGAAGCCTGAATGATTGTAGCTGGGATCCCCAACTGTCTGATGCTCTGCTGGAGTTACATGTGCCAGAGCCACTTAAGAGATGCAGCATCAGCTGACAGCAAAACCTTGGATGTCTCCATTTAACTGGAATTTACAACCTTCAGACAGGTGCTTAAGTAAATGCATGCCCAGAAACTGAGACCTAAGCATGAAACCTCCAGAGTGACATGAAGAGAATGCTGTAAAAACCAATCAGTAGGAAATACTGAGGAGACATTGAACATTCATTGGAGTGAGGATGGAAGCATCTCACAAGGTAACTGAGTCTGTTCAGCTCAATGAGTGTTCAAGTGTTGCTTACAGAGCAGCCAGGGACCACCAGGAAAGCCTCAGTTTGTAACAGATCAGATACCCAAGAGTGAGAGTTTCTACGCTGTTCCCAAGCAGATGATCTAAACACTGAGATAATTGGTTCACAGGGAAGAAATTCCCTCTACCCGTCTTTGTGCTTGCAGGTCTAGTAAATTCTGGTTTTATCATTTTCTCAGGCAGGGAACTGCACGTGGACTAGAGGGGAGCTCTTCTGCTGGACCATGGAGTTGTCCAGAGGATAGGGAGGCAGTAGAGCAGGGGTTTTCTAAATGTTCTTGTTACTGTATTTTGCACAAAGGACCTGAAGGAGCAGTCTCCCCAAGAATTAAGCCAGAGGACACAAGCCATGGTGCAGTTTCCCTAGCCAGTGCAAATGGGGTTCTTCTTGGTTAAAAGCTCCCATGAGGTGTCCTGATCCACTGCAGCTGGCAAGGAGGTTTCCGTGCAGCACCATTTTGCACACAGTGGATGCAGTCAGCACTGCAAACCTCTGCTCAACCTGTTGGGAGTTGATGTCACAGAGAGCAACTGTTTCCTTCCCTGGGGACAACTGCTGACTTAGAGACCTAAATGTTTCTCATAATTTGTCCTAAACCCACGAAGACAACCAGGAGAGTCTCTCTTAAGCACATGCTTAATATTCTGATAAGCTTAAGAAGAGTTTTGGAGAGCAAAGTTTTGCCTGCAGTGGGAGAACATCCAGAGCTTTGAGTACAAATACCAGACTGGATTTCGACAAGCGAAACAGAGCATGAAACAGCAAGGAGAAAGAGGGAGAGAGGCGGCTGTGCCGAGCGGTGTTTGTGTCCGTGTTTGCCGTCAGCCGCGGCCGGCAGCGAGCGGCGCTGTGAGGGGCATGGCGCGGTAACGCTGACCCCTCG